AACTGGTTTTGCTTCAGGACCCCAAATTTACATAGGCATAAAATGGTCACCCAACATAATACTAAAATTGTTTATGGTACAACCTTAAATGCAATATGCTGCCTACAATAACGCATTTTTATTATCCATTTTGGGCCATCACCCCACATTTAAGAAACATTGAGGAAATCTGATATCATAAGAGAATATGACATTTCTGTTTCTATAAAAATGCAGCTGCATCAAGCTGATAATGAGACTGCACCTTTATGATCGCTGCAGGCAGGATGTGACTGTAAAATGATGCACAAAGTTTACAACACGGTTACTAATCACATCTGTTAACCTTTATTAAAGCAACATGTCATGACTTTGCCCAGTCTTATTTTACAGTTGGAACAAACTGCAATAGTATATTTAATAGACTGCTTATGTGGTCATCAAATTTGTGTCAACTCGTATTTCAGGTTTACGCAACAATAGGGTTCATTTTCATTGGAACAGAACATACACAAATCTAAAAAAGCTGATTTTCTTTTTCAACAGCATGACCTCAATATCAGTTTCTGACCCTCATTCAAATGCACACAACATAAAGTGACATAGGATGGGAGATCAGTTATGGTTTGTGATTTAAAAAGGTACCAGCTAAATGACAAGTATGTAATAGGAATGTGTGAATAGGAAAAGCCTTTCACTTCAGGAAGTTTCCTTGCAGTTGTTATATATGTCAACGCTACACAGCATTTTTAAGTTGCATAACATATCACACAATAAAACCTAGACAGGGCTAGTTTTTGTTGTTAGTTGCAACCACACTGGAGTGTGTATTAAATAGTGACTGTGTTTGTACTGTTTAGAGGTCCTAATAAAAAACTAAATATCATAAAGGCTCTGCATATGATGGATCAATGGCGTATTTTGTTCCTTCAAAGAATACACAATGTATTTTACTCATTTTTGGATACTCCTAACTAACAGACTTGCTAGATGAAACGTGGGATAAAATTATTCTTTCTTATATTTCTAAAACAACTGCACTCACCTCCACCTGTTGACCCCAAGGTTGGACGACCCAGCAAACCAGGGATCCAGGAAGTAGACACATCGAACAGTGTCTGCCCCACGTACTGCCTCCTGAAGTGCAGGGTTGTCATGGAGACGGAGGCCCTTCCGGAACCAGTGGATGGAATTTGGGGCCATGTTCAC